CAGTGGCTCAAGTGGTTAAGACACTGAACTGTGGGCTGTGGAAGGTCGGTAGTTCAGCAGTTCGAGACCCGAGTGTGCCGCATGACGGAGTGAGCTCCCGTCTATAGTTCCAGTTCTAGTTTCTAGTTCCAGCTCCTGCCAATCTAGCCGTTTGAAAGCAAGAAATTGCAAGTAGATAAATAGGTACCACTTCAATGGGAAGGTAACAGCGTTCCGTGCACCCTGGTGTTTAGTCATGCCGGCCACATGACCACGGAAACGTCTTCGGACAGCGCTGGCTCTTCGGCTTTGAAACGGAGATGAGCACCGCAACCCTAGAGTCAGATTCGACTGGCTTTCGAGCAAGGGAACCTTTACCTTTACTCCTGTTTTTAAGCTCATGGTGTAGTAGCCCCCTGAGGATGGGGTCTCCAAGTAATGTATGGGGGGAAGTGGGAATCCATAATCAAGGATCAGCTGATGGCCCTGACCTGGATAGCCCAGGCGAGCCTGATCTCGTCAAATTGTGGAAGCTAAGCAGGGCTGACCCTGGCAAGTATTGGGATGGGAGCCCTCCAGAGAATAACCAGGGCCAGGAGGTAGAGGCAGGCTATCAAGCCACTTCTCTGAATGTCCTCTGTGCCCTAGTGGGAGTTGCCAGGGGTCACCATGACTTCCAGGCATGGACAAGCGCGTGCACGCACACACAAACACACAAAATGCAAAAAATACCCCAAAAAGGAACAGCTAAGTGATATCATAGTCTGTTATTGTCTGCGCCAATCCATATTTACAGACCCAGTACCAGCAAGATGACTGAGGATGGCATAGCTCAATACTACTGCTGCAAAACAGCATCCCACTCGTTATTCTTTTCTTGTTCAGTACTTATTGTCCACTTTATGCAACATTAATCATATGCGGACAATAAAAACTACAAACACACAGTTACAGGTAGAGGGCAGTGGAACTGAGCCTGTTGGCATACAGATGTCTGCATATTTAGCTCCATACAATCCACAGCACTGTCTTGCAGTTTTCCAAGTGGACAGAGAAACCCAGGTGCATACACACGGGACTCACAGCAAGCATTTAGCTGACTGCATGAATGCTGGAGGTGGGACTGGTGTGTGTCAACCTAGTCATGTATATAATATTCACCTAAGGCCACATAGTGAGTCACGGCAGAAGTGAGATTCATACTGAGAACCACGCAGGTTGTAGCTCAGTTTCCTCGCTACTATATTACACAAGCTCTGTAGCTCTTAAGGCAGCAAAAACAGATCTGAAAATAAATTATGCAAGAGAGGAAATGCAGAATGCTATATGCAACAGAATTCAGTTTCCCTTGACACAGAACTATAATTTTTTAGTGCATGGTACCTAGCCCTGGTCATGTGAGTCCTGAACCCGCTTTTTTAAAAGCCTTGTTAGACCTGACCAAATGCAGTCTAACATACTCTAGTGCTATTACTACAATCAGTCATTTGCATAACACTTTTGAAGACTAACACATTTTGCAAATTATCTTGATCTAACTATCTGAACTCTCCAATGAGAATGTTTTGTTCCCATTTTACCTGTGGGCAATGGAGTGAGGCCTGCTCAGGCTCATGCCCATCTACTGCATTCAGTACTGGGATGGGATTTGAACCAAGGTATAACACTACTTATGCTGGCTGGCTGTGAGAACAAATCACTTTGGTGTAGAGACAGTTTTCCAGAAACACCAGCCTAAAGGTCAAAAGGCCTGTCCTCCTGATCTATCTAACCATATTAATTCTAGACTAGACATACATTCCGATGTTTTGCTTGGACAAAAGTTTGTCTTCCCCATCCCCTATGACAAAACCTGCTCCACATCCACATGGGTATTTCCAGCATGTACACAAAGCTTTAAGCGACTCACAGAAGAGGATAAAAGAAGCACCTGTGCATATGAAGTTGACCCGTAATGTGGAAAAACATTAACTCAAGAGGACTGGCATCATATTTGGTCTTCCCATAACCTAACTTCTAATATCTTGAATGTTCAAATACAAAGGCAAATATTACTTTTGAGATGGTATATGACACCCAGGAGACCGTATCATATTTCTCATAGAAGCTCCCCTCTTTGTTGGAAATCATGCAGGCAAGAAGGCAGTTACATTCATTGCTGGTGGGAGTGCGAGAGGGTTAGGGATTTCTGGGAGATGGTTTTGACTCAAATTAAGGTTATCACACAATATGACCTACCAAGACAACCAGCATTAATTCTCTTAGATCTATGGCAAGACACATCAGTCCCCTAAATTCGTAAAATCTTGACATCAACCTTATTATAAGCTGCCAAGATGGTCATTGCCATTAAATGGAAAGATCCTACCTCACTTCATTTGAACTTGTGGTATGCCAAGGTCTGGGTACTATATGCGATGAACAAAACTGCAGATAGCACGGGCATGTTTAGAAACACAGAAAGCCATGTTAACATAATGAATAAATGGCTCCCATTTCTAGAGGCATAATTTCTACCTAATTTGACATTGAGATCCCAAATTCCACACCGTTTTTACGAAACAGTTAATTATATGTAAAAATATATATAGTTTTAAGAACAGTCTGGAAGATCTCCATGGAATAACACCAATCTATACTACTGTTGCTATATGTAACCTTTTCAATTTTGAGCTGCTAAGCCTAGTGATTTATCTCACGAGTTGCTATGTATTCTTCATTACTTATATTGATTTTGTTGCTATGTTATACGTTGAAATGGTGGTTATATGAAAATTAAATAAAAATATTGACCTGTATACAGCACAGCAAGAATGTGAAGACAATTAAGGCAAATGCTGTTTATCTCAAAACTTTCAATGCAAGCTGATTCAAACTGGACCAGCACAGAAAATATGTGGTACAAAAACAAAACAGGATGTATATAGGAAAGTGTGAGTGGGCCCAGTTAAACCTTCACAGCTGTTACTGTTTAGGACAGAGGCCAAGACAAAGAATGACAGCAGAAGAACATGAAGAAGAAATATTGGCAGAGGATAGATAAGAAGGAAACATCAGACTTGGTTCAGGAGAGAAGTCCTTGACAAAGACCCCTCTCCTGATTCTCAGCCAAAGTTCAGTATCCGGAAAAAAGCATGTATCAGCTACAACTGCAAAAGTTGCTATCATTCTGAAGGATAGTTTGGGTTTGAGGGAAGGAAGTTCCAGGGGGCCAAAAAACACATGCTGTCAAATAGGATTATATTGCTTCAAATCCAAAGGTTGCTAAAATTCAACAAAAATGAAAGAAATAAGCTGTGCAATTTTTACTTTTATTATGGATTAGCATTATAACTCTACATTTAAAAAATAGTACATCTTTCTAGTAAGTACAATAGTAGCAAAATACATCTGAAACTCTGTAAGAGGTAGAATTCCCTTAGAATTTGCTGATCGCTCATATACAATACATTATACACATTATAATAAGTCGCATTATTGCATTCAGTGATTAAAACAGGTGCAATCGAGAATTTAGCTATCATAATTATGACCATCTCCCTTCAAACTAACGCATGACTTGCTCTCAGAATGAATTATTCTGGTTTGATATGCAACAAAAAGCACTTCCTTTGCTTAGTTTAATATTGAGTATTGGACTTTAGTACACTATAAATGGCAAGCAATATGCATATTACCATTTAGCTTATACAGTAACAGCATTCTGAATGACACCACTTGATAGTGATGCAAAAAGAAAAACAAGTGGGAAGTGATTCTATTTCAGAGCTATTTTTGAATAATTCCCATACAAAGGTACATTTCTCTCAGCAACATTGCTTGAAAGGCTTCAGTGCTTAAAGTTAACAGAGAACTAACGCTGATACTAATCAGCGACAAGAGCTTTTGGGAGTATAAGCACAGCATGGTGGAATGTGTGATCAGCACGGATTCCAATGGAACAGAACAGTCTGTGCAAAGCTTTAACAATGCACCTGCACTTTCTAATGAATGATGTGCTGTAGTCTGGCCTAATTATGTGGCAACACAAATTTGCACATCTGATGCAACACTTTGCATCTTAGCAATAAAAACATCCAGCAAATCTAAAACTGAAGACAATACACATTCAGAGAAACACAAGGCTTCACCTGCTAGGCACCAGCCCTTGCTGCTATTCAAAGCAGTGTGTTTCCTCTGGGGGTTACATTCTGATAGAAGTACAGTTTTTAGCACTGAAAACATTATACAGAAAACAATACAGAAAGTAAGGCTCCAAGAGTAGATCATCTGTATAAAAATAAGTTGCTGAGCTGAAAATGTTAGTCAGTATGACAGATTGTTTAAAATTACATTCCCTTTATACGGAGGGGGGGGGGAAGGACACCAACTCAGGATTTTAGAATGGGACAGAGATACCATATCCCTTTTGAGAGCCCGTTTATTTAAACGCTAAAAAGAACAAGAATGACATTAACTTGTTCCCCACCAGGTAAAGTTCTTTAAACTGAACCTCAGTGATGCATGAAATAAAACCAGCAAGTTTCACCTTTAACGGCTAGAATCCAGAGCTTTCTGTGTATACTTCTGTGCATTCACAGTAGCCTTCTGTGTATACTTCTGTGCATTCATAGTAGCTGTTCACCTCCCTGTCCCCCCCCAAGCACCCTTGTGCTCTCTGAAGGGTGGGTGACCCTCCAGAGCTGCAGTCCATGGGGCTGGACTGCTATCTGAAGGAAATCCCCCCCCCCCAGCATAAGTGCTTTGTATACACAGGCTTCTCCGGGTTCAGGCCAATGTCTGCACTATAAAATTCTCATATTTAAAAATACACATTTTTGGTAAAAAAAAAAAAGTGAAACAAATCAAAATATAGTCTACTTTTTTTTACACAATTCATATATATTATATATACACAGAGAGCTTACCAAAATATTTTACTCAGTACATATACATTGTAACACTGTATCAGAACTGTACTTACAAATGTATTGCTAAAATTTATTACAAATTTCCTTAGTATTAAAATCTCATATCTGTGCACACAATTGTAATGTTCAGAAGTTCAGTACATCTGCAGTAGTCACTAAGTGAAGTCTGTGATTATTCAAAGACCTAGTTGTCTTTAGAGTTCTAATCAGGTATGAAAGGGTCTCTCTTCCCTGTGGGTTGCTTGCTCCCCTCAGTATTGCTCATCCGTGAAGAACACTGAATTGTAAGAGCTATCCAGCTTTCACCGAAGCAACAAGGCTTTAGTACTGAACATATTCAGACTGAAGGGACTGTACAGATGAGAAACAGAAACTAGTGTTAACATTCCACTGAAGAGTCATTAACCTTCAAGCAATATAAAAACAATATTCTTTCAAACTGAAAGCCTGTCAGTATGGACAAAAACTGCGACACATCCAAGCTACAGCACAACCAGTCAACAAACTGAGTTTGCCTATGAGAAGTGCAACACAAATAGGAATGTGGGAAAAAACCACAGTAAACTTTGGCTGCATTCAGACAATAAACTGTGTCTTCTTTAAACTGTGTCTTGTTTCAGCAGTAGGTTGTGCAACCCACTGGTCAGTTTACTAGTCATTTGTATGTAATTGTATGCCTCTTCTCCTTGTAGGAAAGACATACTGTCTAAACAGACATGTCTGTGTCCAGGCAGTCCACTGGGTTATTCTACTCAATGAACTGTGGCTGACAGCAAGTCAGTATTAGTACATCCTGTGGTTGCACTACAGCTAAACAGCTTAGTTTGAAACCCTGGCTTGGTATCAAACAAATACATTATTCCAGTTTGTCAGGCCATCTGCATCCACATGTTCCAGCTAACTAGAGTTTCATCAAACCATGACTTATAATCCAAGGGTTATCATGATGTCTGAATACAGCCATAGTGTACTCCAAACTTCAAATAGCACAGGCACACTTTCCCCTCTATATTAAAAGTAGAGCTACCACATTTAATGCTTATGCCAATATAGTGTTTTTTGAACATGAAAGAGTACCCATTGTCCAAGAAGCCCAGTCCCACTCCTCTCCTTGCCTCTTTATAATCATGAGTCACATCCAGAACATTGACTCAGGCAGAAAAACAATGGAGAGTTTCCTTTGAGGGCAGGAAATTTTACTTTGTGTGAATGCTCTGAAATCAGACCCAGTGCAAAGACATGGCAAAGACAACCAGTACTGCAGTGATAGCCAATTGAAAAGATGCTTCAGGCTCAAGGAGATTTGCTGAATTTATTTTTAGTGGTACATTAACAGTTCTTTCATGGCTCATTAGTGTGCCGTGATACAAAGTTTGGGAATTACTGCAGTGAACTCTCTTTCTGAATTAATAGTGATTACAAAACAAAGCCCTCAAATTGAGACGAACAGCTTTTAGTATAGCTGTATCACAAATAGGATTTTTATAGCTGACAACTGTTCAAAGAGATCAACTGATTATTAAATAATTCTTCACATTTTTATTGTTGTCACTAATTAAGAGTTCTTGCTGCCTTTTACGTTAAGTGCTTTAAAACAAAGGGCAAACTCACAGACATCTCTAGAAGCCATCTCAGTAAAGAAAAACATTAACATGAATTGTAGTTTTTGTGGTTTAATTGCATTCATTTTAATTTCAACAATGAAAAGCGCTCTGCAGCTTTCTTTTTGGTTCAGAAAGTGAGTGAAATATGTCTAATTTGTGTGAAATGAGTAAGGTAGCAGCACATTTTACAGTATATTATAACATTTTGGATATACTTAGCATTTTGTGAAGTGGGAAGGAGGAGGAAGTACAAATGAGCATGTATAATTATTGCAAGCAGTCAAGTCAAGGAAGGAGAAAGTTAGCAGAGTTAAAGACAAATCAAGGGGGGGGAAATTCTGCCTGTTTATTGACTGCCCATCTCTGGACCAACAGAGCATCTCTGCTCTATCGAGAGTGACAAGTCCTGCTCATGTACCATTCACTGGCACTGAAATGAAAACTAAGCTAAGAGTTTATCTACAATCTGCTTGCAGTACCACATTAAGGACACTTACCTGGAAGTAAGTTCCAGTGAAGCCAATGGGACTTACCTCCAGATAAAGAAGTTAGAAGAAACCCTTCCATCCACACGTAAGCTAAGACAGATAACAGTGACAGGCCTCATTCAACTGCAGAAGAAACCTTAATACACTGGTGACAATGAGAGAGGGGTATGCATGTTTGCACATGCTTACAATGGGGTCCATAGTGTGGCAATTCAGTAAAGTGCTAATTGTGACGATTTATCAGAATCTCGACCTGGTTCCTATATATAAACCCTGCTTGTCTTCTTCACTCAGATGAACAACAGTGTGCGATAACTTGTTTTTTTATGTATGCCATGCAGTTCACCACTGTAATGACCACAGTAGTAATCATGAAATTACCTCCAGGTAGTCTGTTCTAGCCAGCTCAAACTTAAGCTCGCTCCACAACTATAGACCAATGAACACAACCATGTGAAGAAAGTACATCGGACCTGCACGTTCAAAGTAGTCCTTAGTGAACAATGTTAACTGCAAATGTTAGATGGCTCTCCACCTTCACACATACTTTCATGGATAAATATCACTCTCATGTAGAGAACCCCACATTTACCAATATTATTTTGTTTTAATCCTTTCTATATTCAGCCATGAATGCAAACATAAAATTTAATTAGAATGACAACTTTAGGCACCATTTCATTTGTGCCATTGATGTGGCAGGCCTCAACATTAGAACCTCTTTGTCATTTAAAAGAGAAAACAAAAAAACTCCCATGAAAACACACCGCATGTATGCATTTACAAATACAGCATCAACAAGGAACATTTCTAAAACTAAACACTGATCTTTCCAAAGACAGAAGATGGATTTTTCTGCTTTGAAATGCTTTGAAAATGCCCATCTTGCCTTCATTTTAATCTTTATGGCTACAATAAAGAACCTTCCATTTCACTACACGACAGAGTCTGAAAGCCCTTCCAAAAGAAGAATTAACAGTGCCATCCTACCAGAGTTATATCTTTCTAAGTTGATTGGTTAGAAGGGTCTTATGCTGCTTAGAATGGCACTGCCAAATTACCTAAATTCTAAAAAAAATAAAATTCAGTTTTAGTAGTACATTTTTGGGGTGTACACCCTCCAGCACACCTTTGATACTTCCAGGTTTAGGGCTGCATTTGGATGTCACAGTAAACTAAGGCTAGTTTAAATCAGGGTTAGGGTTAAACCCTGGTTAGTCTAGCACACATGCATAATAAACTTTGCTTTGTAAATCCCAGTTAGTCTGCTGCTTGCTGCTTTTCCTGCCTCCAAGCAGAATCTCTGAATGTTATCCTGAACTTCTTTATATTGCCGAGCTGCTGAAAAAGCCTCAACGTGTATAAAGCTTTCTTGTTATTTGTTGGGCTGTTATAAGTGGGAGAATCATAGAAAAAGTTAAACCTCTTCCCTTTAGGCTAATGATTATTCTTCCTCTCCTTTCTCACCTGATCAAAATAGATCTTTTGGCTTTCATCTCTCCCTTATCTTGCTAATTATTAACCCCCTCACCACCTCAGTGCATTTTATAAATTGTACTAAGTCATAACAGATCTTTTACAGCCTTCATCCCCCAACCCTGGTTGATTTATTAATACCCTAACTTTGGTTTCTCTTGGAAAGAAAATAAAGGCTTGGGAAAAAAACACGATCATGGCCAGGTCACACACTTATTCACTTTTCCTAAGAAATTAAGGGGAGAGAAGTTGAAAAGAGTATTCATGTATCATTGCATATCACAGTTACCAAGCCAGATACAAACTCTGGTTTAGAATCTCAGATCACTAACCAACAAACCAGTTTGTTGGGCAGCTTGCTTTCAGACATCACACTAAACTGGAATTTAATCAAACCGTAGCTTATAAACTGTCATTTATTGTGATGTTTGAAAGCAGCCTGGGTGTGTGTGAAATTAATCAGCTGTTGCAATGATCAATATGGTTAAGATCCTTAGTATTTCAGAATCCTGAAATTTAATATACAAGCAGATAATCCTCAAGGACCTGTAAGAGGCACCTCGTTTTCCCCTCTGTTCCTCTCCTTTACACTATTTCCTCTTTCCTTCTGCCAGAAAGCTCCCATATCCTCTCCCCTTTTCCTGCTTCCTTCCCTGCTCAATAGTTTTCAGCTTTTATTTATTATTTACTTAATTAATTTATACCCTGCCTTTCTGCCCAACTGGTACCCAAAGCAACTTATATAATTCTCCTCTTTCTCTACTGTACAACAACTCTGTGAGGCAGAACAGCCAGATTCAAGTCCAGTGGCACCTTAAAGGATAATAGGATTTCCAGGGTATAAGCTTTCAAGAGTCAAAAGCTCCCTTTGTTAGATATCAACAAGTATCTGATGAAGAAGAAGAAGAAGAAGATATGGGATTTATACCCCGGGCCTTCACTACTCAAAGGTGTCTCAGAGCTCTTTCCCCCTTCCCCTCCCCACAACAGACACCCTGTGAGGTAGGTGGGGCTGAGAGAGCTCTGACAGAAACTGCTCTTTTTCAAGAACAGCTCTTATCAGAACTACGGCTTGCCCAAAGTCATCCAGCCAGGTGCAAGTGGAGGAGTGGGGAATCAAACCCGGTTCTCCCAGATTAGAGTCCACGCACTTAACCACTACACCAAACTGGCGAGTTTTGACTCTCAAAAACCTATACCCTGAAAATCTTGTTGGTCTTTAAGGTGATACTGGACTCTAATCTTGCTCTTCAACTGCAGACCAGCACCTGAACATGTCAGTGAACGATTGATCCAAGGTCACTGATTCATGGCAGAGTGGAAATTTGAACCTGGGTCCTAGTCTGATCCTCTTACTACTACACTACACTGGCTTTTGCACAGTGGCTGCTGTTAAATAGCAGTAAGTCACCAGGCGATTGCTGCTGGTCCTGGATGGTTGTGCAAGTTGTGTGGTAGTGAGTCACCTGGTGGTTGCTGATAGGCCTGCTCTGGATAAGTTTTCTCTCCAGGGCAGGGAGAGGGGAGCAGGGGTGATTTCCAACCAATCCCTGGAAAGGATCCTTCCCCCCTTCCCTTTTACTGATAAAAACAAAAGTCTGAAGGCAGGCAATATTGTTATGTGGTTGCTAACAACCCCCACAATAGCCACTGAGATCTCAGAGGGCATCTGTTTCTTAAAGCTACAGGTGCTATTTCTATCATTTGGGCAATGTATTTTCTCCCGATCTTTTTATGGTCCCAGCCTCTGTATTTCAGTATCCACAGACATGCCCAAGTTGAGAATTAGATATAATAATTATTTTGGTTCCATCTTTCTTGACAACAAATATAGCCTCTAAACGGCCTGTACAATGTACATTATCCTCAACTGTGCACCAGACTGCTTTCATAATACTTATAATATGAAGCATATTATGACTACATCACAAGACATCTGTCTCGTATGTCCATGGCCCCAGTCTCCAGAGGTAAGTATGCACAGATGGGGTCATGATGAGAATTATATATACTGAAAAGATTGTTGTAAATGAATCTAATAAGCTGATGTATGTCATGTTTTGCAATCTAGGACAAGGGTTACTACAGACCCCCCTACTTGTACATACCATTCAACTGGTAAAACAGAGACTCACCAAAATAAGGTAAGTAAAAACCCACAGCTGTCACCCAACTTTAAATGCAATGTTTACAGCAGCATTTATACTTTCCTTTCAATATTTTCTAGCTCAGAGAAGAGGATATTCACTATGGGACACTGCATGTCCCCTTATTTTTCATTGGCCTGCAGACAGAAAGGGAAGGGATCTGATTGCAACTGAAATGTTGCAACCCAAGGTAGCCACCATGATTTAGGCTAGCCAGAGTGATTTAAAATAACAAAGTCTTGTTGCATTTTTAACGATGAACACATTTATTTACTGAAGCATAAGTTTTTGTGAATCAGAGACTACTTTGTCAAATGCACAGGTATTTCACCCTGACCTGAATAGCCCACGCAAGCCCAATCTCGTCAGATCTTGGAAGCTAAGCAGGGCTGACCCTGAAAAGTATTTGGATGGGATGTTGTACAGTAGAGAACTAGGGTTGGGAGGCAGGCTATCAAGCCACTTCTCTGAATGTCCTCCATGCCCCAGTAGGAGTCACCAGATGTCACTATTACTTCCAGGCACAGGGGCATATACACACACAGAAAAAATCGCACAGGCATTTCTAGGGGTTAAAAATTATGGCAACTACAGAGACCATGCTTGATGGTCTTCTCAAATATTTAGGAAGTTGACCCCTCCAACAGTATAATATGCCAACATGCCACTTAAGATATCTGTGACCTAAGGTAGCAAATCATGGAAGTTGGTCCTTGTCAGATGTGTGTTCTATGTTATTCTCACTTAAAACAAAAACAAAACAAACTGCTGCCAAATTATGGCAGAATGCATTTCTTACATCTACTATAAAATACAAAATTTAAAGTGAGAAAAGCAGACACGTTAGTCTAAAATGGTGTCATTAATACTGTCTGAAGTAAACTTCTTGGATCAGATGGTTTCACACACCATAAGATAACTATTTCAGAAAGGGAAAGGTTTTCAAAGTTTTTTGGTATAAACATGAAACTAGGCAGTGTTGCTGGAGACTCTCAAGACTGAGCCAAATGACCACACACTGACAAAACAAATTAGTAAGAAGAAATGCCTGTTCTAGAACCCGTTTTAGTATATATTTTAATGCTCTTTTCCCAAGGTTAAAGACATTCTCCTTATACTTCCAGGGATGCTCTCAGAGGGTTGCTATTGGGAAGGGGAGGTCTGCCCAACAAGACCCGAACCGTGGGGATCCCACAAGATTTGATCCTCTCTCTGATGTTATTTAACATAGATATGCACCCTCTTGTGGAGATCACTAAGGAGGTTTGGAGTTGGGTGCCAGCAATATGCTGATGACACTCAGCTCTTCCTCCTGCTGGATAAACAGCTGGCAGCAGGGATCTCGGCACTATCCCAGTGCCTGGATGTGGTAGTTCAGTGGATAAGGGGGAGCTGGCTGAAGCTGAATCCATCCAAGCCAGAGGTCATGCGGCTGGGAAAGACTGAGATGCTAGCTGGAGGGTCACGTCCAAGACTCAGTGGTGTCCAGTTGACAGCTGTAAAGAGTCATGGAGATTCTGCACTATCATTGGTTAAAGAAGTATCCATGGTAGGACAGTTGGCATTTTTTCACCTACACCAGGCCCGCCAGCTGACTCCTTATTTGTCTGGGTCAGATCATGCCACACTGATCCATGCAACACTCACCTCCAGACCGGACTACTGAAATTCACTCTATGTAGGGCTACCCTTGAAAATGCTTTGGAGACTGCAGGTGGTCCACAATGCAGCTGCCGGGCTGCTGACTGGAACATTATGGTCAGCTCATATTACTCCAATTCTGTGGCAGCTGTACTGGCTACCTATTAGACTCCGGATTAAATTCTAAGTGTTTGTGCTAAACCTTAAAGCTCTTAACTGTCTGGGACCCTCATATCTATGGGACTGCCTCTCCTATTATGACCCCCCACTCCCTTTGACCATCCTCTAGAGGCCTCTTGCAGGTAGGTGCTTGGGCCCAGGATGGCTTAGTCAGATGTCATCAGGGGAAGGGTCTTCTCAGTCGTGGCCCCTACTCTGTGGAATGCACTCGAGGACGACATCCGTGCCCTGCTTGACTTGCTTAGTTTCCATAGGGCATGTAAGGCCGAATTGTTTAGGCTGGCCTTTTGAAGGTAACCTCCAATGTTTGGTCTGTTTTTATTAGTGGTATGGTGATAGCCACATATTTTAATAGTTTGATATTTTAATGTTAATATTTTATATTTGTTATTTGTTTTTATGTTGTTTTTACCTTACTAGTTTTAATGTTGTAAGATGCTGGGAGACCCTTTGGGTGAGCAGTGACTAAAAGAGCCGCTAACAAATAAATAAATAAATCATATCTGAATTTTTAAAGGTACAGACATTTTTGAGGCTGTTTTTAAAAGCAGATTACAGACTTAAGTCTATATCCCTTCACAAATTTAACTGACACTTCCAGTGATGGTAATGCTACCACACCTGTATCAATCTGTTTAGTGTGCCCTTGAGTAAGATATCCTCTACATCTGTTCAGCTAGGAAGATGCCCTGACCTGGATAGCCCAGGCTAGCCCTATCCCATCAAACCTCAGAAGCTAAGCAGGGTCAGCCTTGGCTCGTATTTGGAAAGGCTACCTCCAAGGAATACCAGGGTTCGGGACGCAGAGGAAGGCAATGGCAAACCACCTCTGAAACATCTCTTGCCTTAAAAACAAGTCTCGCTCACTACCTAGTGGTGCATAAGGCTAAAGAGCTAGAACTTCTGGCTGCCAGACAACTTTAGGATCTCCTGGCTATTTTACACACAATGCCATATGATAATGAATTGATTAAGCTAGGAAGATCCTATATTACCATGAGTTTTATATTTCCAATGATTTATTGATGACAGATCTGAAATGGAGAGACTACTGAAAAAAATTATGCACTGATGAAAGTTGTTAGAAAAGTTAAAGAATTATATGTTTCCATAGCACCTTTGTGAGGAACACTAAGGAAGCAAAAGTAAGTATAGCTAGTCGCTATGGCTAAGAAGAAATCAGCAAAAAAGCAAAGATGCTGTGCATAAAAAAGGGGAGCATTTCTTAGACAGAAAAGGCCAGAAAAGAAGGTTTAGAAACTCTTCTGAGGGAGCTCTGGCTGAAGAAGCAAGGTTCTGTCAGATCCCCTGGAAGGCTGCTGTGGCTGTAGACTTACAGGAATTGAGCGACTCAGGTATCTTGCTGGAGAAGCAGCGAGCCCCGTAAAAGATCTGTAGGTGCTGTACTCGTCTGTCAGGACGCTGGGAGAATTGGCATAGCTGTTGAGGTTGGTAGCACTACTGCCGCTCCTGTTGTACAGGTTGTTGTTCAGCTCATGGTAATTTCTGGCAGGCAGCTGAGCACTGCCATTCAAATGACTGGAGGTTTGGTTTACAGAATAACCTGTCCTAGAGGACGATGATGTCAGTTTGCTCTCAGCATCATCTGAAGCGGCATACAGGTTCCCTAGAGAACTGGCTAGCCTGGAGTTTATGGAAATGCTGAATGGAAAACACATGCGGGGTAAAAATACACACAAAATGTACATACATGTGATGGTTAATGCAGAACAGATTTAAAAGACACCAGGGGGGAAAGTGACACAGAACCACTGCCATAAAATTAATGGAAGGCAGTACATTGTTCTGTCTGTGAAATAACAAAAACTATATGGCAGCCAACGGAAAAAAGGTCATCATGCAACCATGACATCACTGTAATATACCAGGTAACCATATGGATGTGATCCCTAAGACACTGTGCAAAAGATGACATTTAGAATCTCTTACAGAGTTCTCCTTGTGAGCAGTTCCCAGTTGGCTCATTTACTTATCTGTTCTTTGGCTTGTTAAAAGCCGGTGTGTATGAAAAAAACGGTAGAAAGCCTGGAGTATAAATATCGATCTTTTAACACATGATCCTCAGGATCACAGCCACAGTTTCATTAGTACATAGGGCCAACGTGATTCACTGAACACTGTAATTAACCATAATCAGGAATTCAAACTGACTCATCAAGTATAGAAGGACAAGATCAGAACATCTTTCATTAATAGCACCTCAAGCAACCCCCCCCCCAAGATCCTGATGTCTGAAAAGCATGCCAGGATCATTGTATCTCAAAATTATGTATTAACCTTCTGTCTCAAAAAATTCCCTATCTCCTTTCCAAAATGAAGTCATAACAAAACAAGATATACCTTTTTAAATTTGAGCTTGTGGATGCAGAGTTTCTGTTTATTCTCTTTGCTGTGGGTGACATTGCCATCACTTTGGAGGATTTCAAAGGAGATATAGATCCTTGTGAGATTGCTGAAGTATTCAGTCTAAAAACACAATACATTTGGTGTGGCATCAGCAAGATTATGTTGTCAATGTATTTATTATTCAGACATAAATTTGGCCAGTAATAGTTTAAAAACATCTTAAGTCTATCTTTTCAGACATGGAAGCTTAATACTGGCAAATTCTGGCAAATGAGTAGGATTCACCCTTTTTGCAATCCCACCTCAGTGTTTAACAGTCGTTAGGCCCAAAATTCACCTGGATTTTTTTTTTAAAATCAGAGACTTTGCTGTGAGTCTTTCAAGCTATAATTCAGTAAGTGCTGCTTCTGTACAGGTACTACTGAAATTATGTTTTAGCTCCCAACAGAGTTTGGCAGATTGGCTCATGTCCATAGAAGGTACAAAGAGACTTGTGCACAAAAATGCTTCATGGACTACTACAAACTTCAGGGCTGTCTACACACTTAAAAACTAACTGATGAAGATTTCCAGAGCAATAAACTTCAGTATCCAGCACATTTGATCAACCAGCAACCCCCTATTCCCTATAAGTGCTGAATAACAAAGCTTTTTCTGTAAAACCATAATATCAGACACAAAATCAGAGCACTAAATATTACCAGACACAAACACAAAAAGCCAGAAGAATCCCACCTACTATTATAAAAAGTCTTCTAAATAACATATCCATTCACATTTTCTGAAGGCAGGCAAGATTTTCCCTTGCCATCTTCTTTGGAAGAGCCCCCAAAGCCTTTTGACAGCTCACTGAAAAGAGATACTTGGGCCTGTATCACATGCACAGCATAACCACATCAATAGATCTCTGTATGGTAAGCCACACTGGCAAAGATATCTCTGCAAAATTCACCAGGATACTGCCCCTGGAAACACCCCTCTTCATTTTCAGAGGTTTGTGCGCGTATCATGAGGGAAGTTATTCTCACAGGTGGTTTGACACATGGACCCATAAAGCAGTTTTACAATTCCAAGTTGCCTTATAACCATCAGACCTCTGCATATAATATTCTGCAAGGATGTAGCCACTGAAATACTTCAAAGCCTTTAAGAAGCTAGCTTTGGTGTGTTTGAGGCTATTTGTTGTTGTTCAGTCACACAGTTGAGTCCGACTCTTCGCGACCCCATGGACCACATCACACTAGGCCCTCCTGTCTTCCGTCATGCTCCGAGGCTATATCCCTGCAGAATTGCATCTTCAGAGGTCTAATGGTCTCAATTTGACCTGGAATTATGAATACAGTAAACTGAGTGTAGGGTTTCATTTACAGTCATTAAGCAGCAGGCTCAAGAAAGCCTTCCACATTAATTTTTGACCACAGAAGTGCTCTTCAAAATAATTTCAAGAAATTTACACTTTAAAAGCATAAATGATTTATATGCACATATACATGCAAGACAGATACAAGTGTGCCAAACTGCTCTTAACTTTCTATATATCCACACTTGGCTTGCAAACATAATAGCGTAATACATTCCCCTTGTAGAAGATGAGTAACAGGAAAGAATTCCAGGAGCAGTTCTCTGGACAAGCAGTGTGGTATGGGAAACAGACATAACAAGCAACTATTGACAGGATCAATACTGAGAGTGAAACGGAGTCCAGAAAATTTAAGATTAGAAGTCAATTAAAACTGTAACACCAATAGTTTCCCCATAGTATGTACCTGAAAGGCTGAGACGTGGATCTTGTATGCAGCTTCATATCTTCTAGCCTAGAAAATCAGAAACTTTTAGCATTCAAAGCTTACCTTCCAGCTAAAGCCAAAATGGATTACTAAATTAAAATTTTTTAGCATCCAATGTAACAACATAATATCAAAAACTGATAAAGCAGTTTAGTTCAAGAACAGTGCAAGAATGTCAACCCAATCCTTTTCCCAGCCCAAGAAATGATTTCTTAAAAAGGAAGTCAGGCACCTGTAGACCATAAACATGTTTCCTTGGGAAGGGTATTCAACAGGGCAGGTGCCAATACTAAGACATGCCAGGGACCACAGTGAGGGAGATATTCCACAAGGAAAACTTCTTAATTTCTTCTTAGCTAAAATTCAGGGATAAGTGATTCTTTCTGAAGGTGACAATATTTACTACAGCAAATCTGAGGGGAACACAATTCTAAAAGTAATTAATTCACTTTGCACTTCCAGTAATTCTTACAACAGGGGCCACTGCTGCTCAACTGCTGGTTTTGATGGAAAGCGGCTATTTAAATGTACGAAGTGAATATCTTATAACTGCAAAATTATCAACTAGCCCAACCAAACTGGTTTTGAAGTTAGTAATAAACCAACAAACATTTATTTGAACTACAAAGTATCAAGAGGTATCACTGCTCTACACAGCAAAATGTCAAGTTTCAGTCACTTTAAAAATACCGGTAGAAGACCATGACACACAAAGAGTAGAGAGGAGAAAAAACATAAGATTACTTAAGAGCGCCTGTCGTAGCTGAACGTGGCTGCCGCCGAAGTTTTAAGGCACGAAGCTTGTCTCCCTGAGTCATACCATTCTTAGCTTCTACTTCTGCATTGTCTTCTACATCATTCTGGAAAACATTGTTTAAAACAATTCAGAAACCACAACACTTTGGCCTCTTATGCTATATAATAGGGATGGGCCCGAACTGGGAAAATGGAAGTTCGTCCCAGTTCATGGGGTCTCACGAACCATGAACCTTCCCGTTTACCAAACCGGTTCGTTTAGTGAGGTTTGTGATGCGGTACAACAGCCCCCCTGCAGGCTAGAGATGCCAAACTTGCAGCGAGTCTTTAGTTGACTTTCCTCTTGTGCCAATGGGAGATCGCCACCCCTTTTCCTTCTGACACTGAGATATTCGACTTCCAGGCCTCCTGGGGTCTCTTTTTGGCCTGGCCTCATCTGCTGGCCTCCCAGTTTCTCAGAACTCCCACTGCTTCTAATCAAAAGGAAATCGCCCCTCTTTCCTTCTGATCCTGAGATCCTGGACTTCCGGGCCTCCTGGGGTCTCCCTTTTTTGTCCTGGCCTCATCTGCTGGCCTCCCTCTGACTGCCCCATGGCCTAGTTTCCCAAAGTTTCCACTGCTTCTGTGAAAAGGAGATTGCCTTCCCCTTTTCCCTTCAAGCCTCAGATCTCCATCTCCTCTCTCTCCTGCACCGTCGGCAGCATGCACCCCTCCTCCGCCTCTCTATATCCTTCCACCCCCAACCTGGGCTCTTTCACACTTTCCTCTGTGTCCCAGATCCCACAAGGGCCTCTTTTGTTTGGTGTTTGGAGGGCCACTATTGGTGTTTCCAGGGCTGCATAAGTCCCTCCCTGTTGCTTTGACGATTAATCTACTGATGCCAGCATGTCTGGCTCACTAACCAGTGTCACAAACTGCACAAACCTCCATGGAAAACATGGAGGTTTGTGGGAGATGTGATCTCATGGACTGAGGCTCATGAACCACTAACTTGGTGATGTTCATAACGAAATTAGGTTAGTGCCCATCCCTACTATATAATTTTGGGCAAATACCACCTGCTGGGTAGTCTAGTAACTCAGTCACAGGTTTATCTCACATTATCCTGGATAGCAAGGCATAAGGTAGAATGGTCTTGTTTAGCCATTGAGAAATTAGCTTTCTATTCCAGAATATCTTTCTGTGAGCATCTCTTGTAGGAGAGGTATTTTACAAGATAAGCAACACATTTTAACAGTATTACTATAGCCTCTGAAACATGAGCCAAAAAGAAGGGACTCAACTCACCATATATATACAAGTAAAGAAAAAAAGAACAAAGTTGTGAGCATCCCATATAGCAGGAATTTAAAAACAGATCAAGATATGAAAAGGCTGAAGACCAGAGCTATGTCTAAAAACAGATTGATCAACTCAGATTACAACAACAAAATTATATCAGCCTTTAACCCACTCTGGTCTTATCCTGAACCAGACCAGATGAACGAAGGCCAGCAACACAATATACCCATTGGCTACTGGTAACACAATCAAGGCTGAACATAGCACCATTGCATCACCATCCATTTTGGCTTTGCACAGTTAAAGGATTATTACCCAGTAATAGCATGGATGCCAGTCACTGTACTCTGCTGTCCTATCTCTTCATGGAACTATAGCCAAACCCTAGATACAAGTACCTACTGTATCTGTTGTACCTAACTGCTGTATTTGATTTTGTCCTTGAAATCAGATTATATTATATTATTTATTTATTTATTTAACTCCTTCAACCCAATAATTATACTAAGAGTAACTTAAAACATGTTCTAAAAGCTACAGATCAGCTTTGTTATTTTATATACTGCTCTCTTTGAATTATCACAGTGCCTACATTTCTTTTCCTCAGTGTACCTTCAGTCCCATCTTGGCATTCAATAATCTTTTTTCTCTGTTTAGACACCATTAGGGTAATTACGAAAGCAACCTTTGACAGTTTAGAGAGGCAGTTTAAATAATGGATCTTTGACAGACATCTTTTATCTTCTTGATGATCTGAACAAAAATTCAATCTGATTCAGTTAGAAAACGATGTGAGGTAGCATATGAGGGACAGATGTCTTCCTGAGATTGCGTATAGTTGCTGCCAGTTGGAGTAAAAGGAAACGGGGCCAGATGGTCTGACACTGTGGCAATTTCATATGATCATATAAGCATACTGCAGTTGGAAGACACATGAGGCAACAGTCTTGCTGACATTACACAGGTATGCCTTGTCAGTGCCTGGACAGAATACCTTCTGGGAACCCTGTAGTCACATCATCTTGGGTTCAATGATGAAAGAAAGGCAGAATATAAATGTAATAATAAGCAAACCATTTAATTACTGCTATGACTTACATGTTAAAAGAAAAATCCAGCAAAATCTTACCTCCCCATATCTTTCTAAAGTCCCACTGATAGAAATGTCATCAAAACTGGACATAACTTTGCACATGCTTTCTTCCTCGACTCTTGGCTTCAGTCTGGATCGGCAGATGTCTCCTTGGATCCACAAGGGTTTTTGTTTCCTGTTAAACAGTAACAGACAACAAAATGAACACCAGAAAAATATATTTCAAAGGCCAGTGCAAAAACAAGGACTAAAATTACTTGGCCGCATATACTGTAGTGTGAAAAGTTCTGTACAGCACAGCTTTAAAAACATTAAAGAGTAAAAAGACATTAGTTATGTATGATATTAAGAATTTCTATCAAAATTATTTTTGTTCTTTTAGAAAAGGGTGCTGAACTCATTTGTTATGAGGGCCGGATCTGACATAAATGAGACCTTGCTGGGCCAGGCCATGTGTGTCATAAAATGTAATGCCAGATAGTGGAGATATAAACTTTATTAAAGACACAAACACAAAGGTTTTTTTTAACTTAAAATAAAAACTTGCTTAAAAAATTAGCTCTGTAAGCTGCAAACCTACTTTTGATTTATTGATATTCACCACAGAAATCTCATGCTCAGAGTTCTGAGTCTAGAACCCAGGTTAAAACATGAAATGGCTGACTTCCGGTCTGGCTCCCGCGCATGGCGGACGCTTCCTCGGGTCGCTCCCGAGGGCGCCTCGCCCGCCCGCGGTGGAGGAGGGAATCCGCGCGAGAAAATTGAAAAGAAAAAGAAAAGATCGGCTTAACTGTGAGTTGTCAAAATGCAGAGAAAAAGAACTGAAAATTGTTTTCCCCCCCTCCCAGCGAAAAAGGCGAAGAGGTTAATCCTCCATCTATACAAGCGAAAAAGAAAAGGAGGGGGGGGGTGAATTGAGCGGACAGTGATGTTTTCCTTTGATGTATTTGAAAGCGAGAAACTTGTCTCTCTGGAGCACATTTTAAGAACTTTCTAAAAGTAAACAAAAAAGAAAAGATGTCGGAGCTGGGCAAAAGCGAGCGGAGAAGGAGGGAGGGACTTCCGTCTGGGCGTTTGTTTGTGTGCAAGAGCCGGCTGTTGAATGTTTGGACTGTTTATGGCTGTGAATCCGACGGGAGTTTTGCAAAAAAGATAAAGTTGGAATTGTGACAGCGAGAGTGCCTGATAAGCGCTTATAAGTCAACAATTGCGAGGAGGACCCATAGAGAGTCTGGGAGCGAATATAAAAGCGAAAATGAAATTATACCATTCTCGAAAATGGGGACCTCCGGGGCATGAAAGGAAGAGGATTTATAGTACATGAACTGAGCGTATTAACAACAACCCGAAGGAGGATCTAACAAGCCGGAAAGACAACAGAGGAAGCTCCTCCACGTCAGCGATAGTAAAAGTACCCAGCACGCAAAGAAGCGGTTCTGAATGTGCAAAGAAGAGACCTTTTTTATTAACAGAATCTCAAAGGAACATTACTAACATACTAACAGAGAATACATGTAACAGGACTAAGAAAAGAAGTTTGGCAACACACAGAAGAAGCCCAAGAAGATTAATTGGACATTACTAACAGTTTAATTTACCAGTTTATATATCACTCAGCTTTCTTTTTCTCCCACTGTCTACCCCTTCCTTTTTTTCTTTTAAGCGAAATACCTCCCCTTTTTAGGGGAGCCAATAAAACCTTTATTAAAAAAAAAAAACATGAAATGGCTGAGTGATTAAGAGAGTCTGGTGAAGCAAGCTATGATGCAGCAGCAGAACTGGAAGCAGGAGATGGCCATTTCCACTGCAGGCCTGATGGAAACTCTCTGGGGGCCTGATCCAGCCCCCAGGCCACATGTTTGACACCCCTGTTTTAGAGTATTTCACATTTCTGCTTGGGGAAGTTAATTTTATCCCTATAGACATATCCCAATATATCACAGATATGTTAAAAAAATTCCCAGCTTTTGAATGAAACGAATTTGCTTTGAATCCATGAACTGTGGAAAGGGCGATGACAGATCATTGATAAATTAGAACACATCTTAAAGCAGTTGTTAATAAATCTGACAATCCATAAAATCACTGAAGGTATGTAGAGGGTTTATATTAAGCAGGGATAAGACACACTGTGCTTTTGGTGAAACTCCTTAAACATTTCTTCCTACAGAAGACACACATACCTGTTAAGTCCAACAACTACAGACTCAAAACATTTTTTGAAATCTAGAGCAATTTTATAAAATATATGTATTCTAGAGAAGTAGGCAAATGAAGGAACTGGATTTTCCACTACCCATTTAAAACTGATTAGCCTTATATAAGTCAACACAGCCATATTAGGAAAAGACTTGCCCTCCCTTCATTGAAAGAAAAAATAAATCTTTCAGCTGGTAAATTTTATGGATTTTCCCCATGAACTTATTTTCCTGTAGTACTCCTTATGAAGAGGAATTATAACAACTGTGGCAATGAGCCAAAAGAAAAGAGTCAGAGAAAAGCTCCCACAAGGAGGTTATGTAACTGGTGAACAGGATTAGAAAGCTGAAAATTCCTGCTTAGAGTGAGGAAGTCAATATACAGTATAATTAAGAGTGATCACAGATTATACTGCTGCTCCTGCAAGCCAAGTTAACCCTGTAAGGAACAAGCCTGTGATGTGCCATGTCGGCACACTGACATGAATAAGCCTTTACTTCCTATCTTCCCTGTGTTACAACAGCAGCGGCATTCTGAAACAGGGAGTCCTGCAAATCAGCCTTTTAATTCAGGCAATGATATGGTATTTAATCTGGTAGCCAAAAAAATATTAAGGTATCTGGGAATAGTCAAAGATTTTAAATATGCTGGAAGGCTTACCAGAGGTTCTAATCCATTATTAGGGAAGAGAACACATCCTTGCTTGTAGATTTGTACTTCTAAAATCTAACTTTAATAGCTGCTTTTTAACCCGTACCAATACTACTTTATCATCCTCCATAAATAATACAAAAAGCACTAGTAAAGCCTAACCGTTCCTCTCTTTGATCAATCAACCTCTTCTGGTTACTCTAAAAGGAGTCTTCCCGTAGTCTAAGGAGGAGCCTAGATCTATAATTAAATATTATCGTAATCCTGAGTCTGAATGCATCTAACCAAGCTGCTGATTCCAATGAATCAACTGCAAGTTCATGTCACATAGCTACATCTGGTACACATTTAGGCAATCTGGTTAAGAATTTTAAGAGAAAAGAACCAATGTCCTCTGAAATACCTTCTACCCATACTCCAATACCAATGGGAAACCACCTCTGAGTGTCTCTTGCCTTGAAAACCCCAGGGGGGGGGGGTTGCTGTAACTCAGGACTTTCCACCACCACATATTGGGTAGAAGCCCTTTCACCTAGCTTCAGTGAGCAACTGGGCACAAGAATGATACTGGGTTTCTGGAAAAAGCAGAATCAGAAGTTCTTCCGGAAAATTATCCACTTATTAAATACAGCATGATTTTGATTTATATTTAGTAAACATTTTAAAAGCACCCCATATTATTTTCATGCTCTGCCATAGCAACAAATGCTTGAACTGAATGACTAAGAAACAAATTGCAAACCAAATATGGCTTAAATTCAAAGCTTTACATGAACATTGTTTTTACTGGAGCTATAGCTGTAAACAGTTAAAAGTAATACAGCAGGTACTTCCCTTACACTGATAAAATTAAGAAAGAAGGAAGGCAATGAAAAATATTGACACACTGATTCCAAGAATATCCGAATTCAATCAGAATTCATAACTTAATTTTTATTTGGATTATTACAAGTATTTGTGGTTTTATCCTCGCACTCCTAGTTTACAAATCAATAAAAACATACATGTACTCTGACATACAGTTCTTAGGAATAATCAGCTGAAAACTATGAATTCTAGCTTTAAACTGCCAATACTGCATTGGCAATGGCATCCACTAATAGCCGTTAATTTTATGGAACAATAAATCTCTAGAAATCGAAAACATTCCATGGAAAAATAAAGCACAGGAAAATCTCTGATTACACTAATTAAAGAAACACCATCCTATATTATTTCACCTCATTACCACCTTGTGTTGGCTATAGGCCAGTTTTGCATACTGCATAATAAAAAAGGAGAATACTACAGAAGTTCTACTAAAGGCAAACATATATGGACACTTCCTTAAGCAATTAATTCATAAGAACATAAGAACATAAGAGACGCCAATGTTGGATCAGGCCAAAGGCCCATCTAGTCCAACACTCTGACACACAGCGGCCAAAAATACCAGGTGCCACCAGGAGGTCCACCAGTGGGGCCAGGACATTAGAAGCCCTCCCACTGTTGCCCCCCCCCCCCAAGCACCAAGAAGTCACAGAGCATCACTTGCCCCAGAGCCCCTATCTATACCTTGTGGCTAATAGCCACTGATGGACCTCTGCTCCATATGCCTATCTAATTCCATATACCTATCTAATTCCTGCCAGAAAATCACTTGCAGTACTGTGGGTAGACTGAACTGAGAAACAATTCTAGTGTGAAGAATTAAAAATCCCCAACAGTGCCTCCACAGAATGGCCATCTTTCTGTTTTGATATTTATAAGACGGTGAACTCCATTTTACTTCTTCAGGTCTGTGCCACCTCATTCTACTGCATGTGTGAATCAGGCCATAGGCAAGCACTGACCAACTGGATAAGCATTAATGCCATGACCATTTTTATAGCAAACCTACTACATTCCAGCCCACGTCAAGCAGTTTCAGAGCGTTGTCTGCTCTGCATATATATTAAATAAGCAAGGTGACAATATACATCCTTGTCGTACTCCTTTTCCTATGCTAATAGGAATTAGTGATTGTTTCTACTGACAGAAACAGTTGAAGATATTAAACTTTTATTCCATGATGAGGGGCATATATGCATTTCAAAATCATGTGTGATATAAAACCCCTCCAATATAAGGACATAATGTATAGAAAAAGCATTTCCTAATCTCTACTTAACTGAAATCCTTCCTGAGTAAAAAAGGTGAAAGACACCAAGGTCAAGAATCAATCAAATTATATATACATTTTTAGTAAGATGACCACTTTCTGTAAAATTTGTAAAGTATTTCAGTGTTGAAACATCCATTTGTGATAAACGTGCTGTTGCTTGCTGTTGGCATTTAAACTTGTAA